CATAAGAAGTCTAATCACAGCTCTTTCTGCACTTGTTGTTGTTCGAGGATGTCTCAAACGGAACGCCCATGTTTGGAGATCGGCGAATTTCGCGAGAGATTTCAAGATCTCCATGTTTCGTGGATGTCTGCAGCGAGAGCTTCATGTTTCACAGAAAGCGCCCTAAAATAGATCCTCCGAGATCTCCATTTTGTGAAGATGTCTCAGGCGAAATTGCCAATCTGGGTAATCCTCTGGGTCTAAACAAACGTCCATCGCGCGACTCTTCGAGTCTGAGCGCGCTTCCCGTCATCCGCTAGGCTAAGCCTGTCCCCCGTGCAGCGCGCCACCCCCCATTAGCAAGAGACAATCAGAAGATATGTTGCAGATTCAGCCAAAACGCCCAGCTCGCTTCCCGTACCTCGAGGACGCTTCCCGTCATCTGCCAAATTGGCCCCAGGGACAGGTTTACCCACTAAAAGAGAACCCTGGGCCCCAGCCCTTTCCGGGCAATATTTGTTTAACAAAAAACAACCAACAAAACGCGGGCGCACAGTAGGCCCCGGGACAGCGGCCGAGAGATCCCCAGCCACCCGATGGATTTTATCTTGTCCCGCCCGCGCGTTTCCTCAGGGGTACACGTCGGTCGGAAGAAGTAGGTAAAAACATGGAGTAGGAAGGCGGATTAAGTTGAGTGGGCCCAGGCCCCCCCAGAGGATGACAAAACACAGCCAAAGCGCGTCGATTTTTTTGAAGTAGGAAGACGCTTGAAGCAGATTGGGATCTGGGAATCCAAAAATACCTACTTTCAACGACCGGCGTGCAGTTTTTCTCCCCGCGCCCATTCTCGATAGCCCCGAGAGGGGTGGGGCCTGGGAGGCCTGGAAAGGGGCACCGACACCAAGACGGAGGGCTGCCTCCACAGGGGGGAGGTGGTCCTGGATTTCGGTGTTGGTGGTAATCTTTCGGCCACCTTGGAGGCCAGAATCTTACTAGGGGGAATACAAACCTCCCTCGCTTTTGACCACCCTCGCTTCCAAGAGATACCAAACGATGCCAAATTGCAGCCTGTACTGGTCAGGCCGCTTGACGAGGAGGCGCGTGGTATGGCTTGGTTTTGCCTGGAAGCGAAAGCGGGGTAGGTAATTCACGCTCTGAATTACCACCATCACCGAGATCGGGATCTTCTTCCCTCGGTGGAGGAACACCGCCGATCTTGGTGTTGGTTGGTGTCGACCTCTGGGCCTGCGAGGGCCGAACACGGCCCCGAGGTGGGGGAGGAGAACGCCAGGCGCGGAGCCGTCGATGCGTCCGCGGGCCCGGGTGCACCGCGGGGGAGGGGGGGAGACCGCCTCCTCGGGACAGGGCACTCCAGACTTCGTCATAAAGGGGCGGGGGCTCCTTGGACCCTCCAAGACAAGCCATTTCAGACCCCCCCCCGTGGGAGAGCCCTCCAAAACATCGCCCCCAGACCCCCCCAGGCCCTCCAAGATGGCCTGGGAAGAGACCCCCCCCCCGAAATGAGACCACCCCCTCCCTTTCTTACGAAATCTGGAGCATCGCGTCGGGGAGAAACAAAAGAGAACTTCAGGGCGGAGGTGTTGCACAAGAGGGTCGGCCCCTGGGGGCCCTCGCC